GCCTTGATTTGACTCCAAGTTCTGCGGTCCCCGTAATGTAGTGTGTCCTATGTTATATTATCAGAAGGCACTAAAGAATTCTTAGAGTGAAATTCATTACCTTGGATAACTTTGCCTCTTTACAGCTCAGGCATCCAGTACAGGCTACGAGCCTACTCTGCCTCTTGTGTTAGTCATGGAGGAGGAAAAGCACCCCTTGCATCCCACTGTCTCAGACAACTAGCTGAAGGTGGGGGAAGTCATGATAGTGTCTTGAGAATAATTTGCTGAGCCTTGGAGGCAGAAAACCTCCCGATACTATGGCAAAGCTTCACAGTCTGAGATTTGTGGGGCCGTTTAAACATATGCTGTTTACAGCTAGTAAAGTCACAAAACAAGAGACAGTGTAAAGAAAATGCCCAAAACCAATTTCCTAGTGGACAAGTCACTGCGTGAACAAGCTAACAAATCTAAAGGCATCATGGTGTCCTTCATAGCACAAGGCACTCACTTCCCTGGTAGCTGCTGCATGTGTTCTCAGAATTATGTAGCATAGTCCCACAACGTAATTCAGAGAGCAAAACAATAGTGTGGTGCCTTTGCAGAGTGAAATGCTCTGTTGGATGTGTCAGCATAACTGATCTCAGTTGAGAGCTGATTTCGCATCCTTGGTAGCTTACTGCTTTTTGCCTCCCTGATTTGCTTTGGGTCTCTTGATACCAGTGTGAATTTCCAAGATTCTGCTGTATATTTTGAGAAGTCTTTTTGAGCTATAGGTGATTGATTCCTGACCTAGTAATGCTATAAGAATTACTTGTCTTTACCTCGTCCGTGCTTGTGCTTGTTGTTGATGACGATTTGCACTATTGTTCCTGAAGCTTGCTGGGGATCCGGTACAACTCCACGGTTACTCCTGGCACTGGGAAATCGTGGAATGTTGACTACCTGCCTCACAGAGCTGGGTGACAGGTCGTAGTGGGAGCGATGGTGTGAGTGTCTCTGGAGACAGAAAGAGAGCAGGAAAGTAAATGTCTCGTTCCAGTGAACATGGGGAAAGAGGCTGCGCTAGAAGGCGATGAGAGCGTTGCCACCATCATCGAACAGCATTAAGTGTAATGAATGGCACCATACCAGGCCATTCAGGTTTTGATGATAGTTAATATGGTGATGAAGTCACCTACACATATGTAGTTGTAACTCATCTCACCAGATTGTGTATGTCAGTGTAGGTGTCTTTATCTAAGCTGGTTGTCTGTAGTCCCTAATCAAGTCAATGGACAGAGAGGCAATTTTAGAACCTGACCTTTTGTGGATTTCTGTATCATGAGGAGATCAATCATAACCCAGAAGTGCCTATTCCGCTCTGTGTATGAAGAATGGTGTTCAGAGCTGGATACCTACTTTACTGCTGTCTACCCTACTTTAAAGTTAGATGAGAAGAACTGTAAGCCTGTCTAGTTCTCCTCATCAAAACTGCTTTCTACTGGGGCTCCAGTGGCAGAGCACGTCCAGAATGACTGTCTGGCTTCTTGTTTGCTTGCAGCTTTAAACTCTCATGCAAGGCCAGGGTTAGCCTTGGTTTAGCCTTGCACAGACTGAGCAGAACCTTACTAGAATCAGTCTTACAGACTGGGAAGTCTCATTTTATTTGCAAAGGAAAGTAGTAGCAGTAGTAGCGTGCAGCATGATTTTTAAAACAAAACCACTGTTTTCAGAGAATTATTTTACAAAATACCCACAGGCATGAAGGAGTAGTGTCTATTAGAGCAGTTATTTTATAAGGCTTGATTCTTCTCACTAATCCAAAGACCCGTTGGTTCATGTATTTAGGTAGTGCACCTAATGCTTAAAAGCTCTTCATATTCTCTCCAAATGCTGTTATAAAAATCATCACTCGAGGAGTAACTTCTTAATGGATACTCAGCCTTAGAGGCAGTGAAACCCCTAAAGTAAATATATGTGTGTATATGTCAACTGGGAAGTTAGTGTTGGCACTTATGATTTTAAAATGATGCTTGCATAGCAAGCAAAATGCTGTAGAATTTTATTCTTGTAGAGCATATACAGCAAAGACCAAATCCAAAGCCTGCAGGAGCTCATGGGAGTTTGTAATTTAGTGTTATTCACTAATTCAAGATGAGTTCTTTAAGGGGTTTGCAGAAGTGGATGAAAGCTGTTTTGGGCTAGATTCACAGACCCCAGGATGAAGCAGTAGGTATTCAGACCTGTTATCATCCTTTTCTCTTTTTTCCCCAATGTATTGGCACATGCAGCACAGCAGGAAAATGTCTTTAAACTGTAGATCACACTTACGGCTTCCCTGTTGGCTGGCTGCCGGAAGATATCTCCGTCGGAATGTTCCCATGATAATTCTCCATCTCCTGAAGCAGAGCAGGATCAGTTAGGGGGGCCATTGTCCAACACCTTGGGAGATACTTAGGGGAAGAGTCTCATCCAGCTTTACAGCTAAATTCAGGCTGGAGGTTGCATCAGTGCAACCAGTGTCAGTCTGCAGTCTGACTTTATTGTACTAGATTCTCTAGAGACCAAAAGGAAGAAGATCCCTTCCCAAATGTTATGCAAACTCAGGATGAAGATTTACTGTCAGATTTATGCGACTTAACAATATGCTATGGGCAAGGTAATTTCCAGCGAGCATTTTCTATGTGATCTCAGGCAAAGATGAGGAGGCATGACTTAGCTTAGCTTGCAGAAAGGCTCAATTTTGTGACCTTCTGTTACTGTGGGCTGAGGGAACCCACAAGCACAGTTTCTGTTGCTTAACTGATATGTAACTTGACTGAGAATTGAATCCTGAATTACTACATTTTTGTAGTCAGCTCTGAAGTGTAGCCATTAATAAATAGCATTGTATTACATATAAGAAGAAAAAAGTAAGCCACGTTTTGTCCTGCAAATTCACTGTCCCCCTATCCATATGATTGTTCTTTCCCTTTGATTTATGCTTCTTTTAGTTAAAATTGCTAAGTCACGATTCACCCCCAGGTATGATTATGAACCAGGAAGGTGCTCTCATCTGTTTGTTAAAGATAGACTGTTTCATAAATAGAAGTGATGGCCGCGCTCAGTGCATGACTCATTAGACACAAACCAGCAACTCTTCCAGGAAGACAGGCTCGTGCAGTGAGATACAGCAGGATGTATGGGAAATTGTCCCACAAAGACTGGATCCCATCTAAGCTCACAGGATCCTATATTTGCATGTAGAGAGTATTAAACATTCAGCATGGCTTGTTTGAATCAGGCCAATAAAAGTGCTACAGAATAAGGCTCATAGCACTAGGGATACTCATAACAAAGTAAGGACATTCTACTTGCCTTTTAAAAGAGAAAAGGTTTTTCTGGAGCACTTGCGACTTGTGCATGTGATGCAGAAGTGATGAATGCTTTTGAGAATCAATGTAAGGGACTAGCAGAGCCAGGCTCTGGTTTCCCACAGCCAAACGTGTGATTCATGGAAAGGAAAGTTGGAAAGAAGAAACCCTCAGTTTCTATTCAGGAGTAGTGTCCAGCTGTTTTCTTTGTAAAGACAACTTCATAAATACAAACATAACTAAGCATAAGCTACAGTGGAAATCATAGCAGGGAAAAATCAGTTTAGGCCAGAGAGAGGAACGTGGCCTTCAGAAGTTTTTAGAGATCTAGTTAGAGGTGTTCATTGATAAGACAAGCCATAGAACTTGAACCAATACCTGATCCTCGGAAAACTGGTACAAGAGCAGGAGAAATCATTTAGTGTGGAGGGGAGCTCGGGATTTATTCCAGCCTTGGAATTCAGATACAGGTACAGATAAAACTGTGTTGCTGGTGGCTCAAAGCCTAGCTCTAGGTGTGCCGAGCACTGCAGAGCTGCATCACTGCATCGGGAGCCTCACATTAATGGCAGAGATCATGGGCTGGGGTCCTCGAAGCAGGAAGCTGCTGCAGGAGCACTAGTGTGTGTCACTGGCTTGGGAGAGCCATGGTGCTGATGCAGGTATGGCTCTAGTTCTGGAGTTAACTCATCCAGATTTAACTCAACCAGATCCAGCATGGATCCACTACTTGAGGGCAGTCTATGTATTAGCATTTTATCCCCTACGCAGTTTATGAGAACTTTCCCCTTAGCTTAAGGGGAAGTTGGATCCTGACATAAATCAGCATCTGAACCATAGTGCTTGGAGCCTTCTCTAGTCATTAGCAGAGGAATGAATAGGAAAATCAGCAAATTTTAATATATTCTGTTAATATATTTCGCATACGGGGAGCAGAAACTGACTCACAGTTTCTTCCCCATGAGCTGTGCTAGCTCTTGATGCAAACTTTTTGTTTAGGTTTGCATTTCATGCCATGTTGAAAAGGACAAAGTTGATTATGAGATAAATTATAATTTTAACATTTTAAAATAACAGACAGTGGAATACATGAAAAAAACTGCATCAGTGGACATACTAGGTTGTCTCTACTGTATAATTCAATTAAACCTCACCTCTCCTATGGGAATGCTAATTAACTTATTTCTCATTAGTGATTCTCTCTCTGGCTGAAGCAACCAATTTCTCCAGCGTAAGGCTAAGTTCACAGCATAGCTGTGTCTGATTCTTCACACTCTGAAAGGCAGTTTGATTTCTGTAACTGGAAGAGGTTGGTTTCAAATAGAGATCAAATAACTATCAGGGAACAGATACCAGGAATCAGACAATTAGCAAGCATTTACTTTAATGAGCTCTCAATGTATTACATTTAAAACAGTATTTCACTCTAGGAAGCCAGGCCTATCACCTTGCCTGCCGGAGAAAGTTTTATAAGCAGTTTGCCTGGCAAAATGTTTCAAGATTTGTCGAAATGCCAAGGAGTAACATGGCAAAGCATCAGAGAACAAGCAACAGTCTCCATGCAGAGATCCTCATCCTCACTCTGACTGAGCTGATGTATTTATGCACCACACAGCGTTGCCCTGCCGAGAGATTTGTTCAGGTCCTACGTAGTGCCACACTGAAGTTAATTATCACTGCATCTCTGCAGTTTAAGTAGCTTAGACAGCTTGCTGCCCTGACATGACTACACAGCTTTTATGCAGGAACTTGTTCTCTCAAAGCAGGCTGCACTGTCTCTGCATCCTGCCGCACTGTGAAGCACTGATGCACTCTGAAGCAGTCTCTTTTTGGCTCAGCCCTTTCACCACTCAGAGCTTTTGGTCCAGCGTGTGTACTCAGTAAACTCCTCAGGACAGGGACTGTGGGACTCTGCTGGTTTGTGTTTCACAACTCTAGCACCATAGGCAAAATTACACAACTGACAACGTAATACTCCTTATTTTATCATGCAGTAGTACTGAGTTCAAACAAGCAGAATCTCAAAAGGACACAGGTGCACAAAGGTGCAAGCAGGAGGGTTTTTCAAAGCAGCCTGGTATCACTGATATCAAGAGTGACACTTCTGAAAACCACAGGTACCTTCAGGCACTTACTGGCATCTTTGAGAACTGGCCATAGGTGCTTAGATACCCTAGAAGTGGTGATTCAAATGCCACAATATTAGTGGTGAGATAAAATACATTCAGAAATTCTCAGGCTTTTAGACTGACATTTAGGTTTAGACATTCAGAAAGGCTGGGAAGCCCCCTAGAAACAAGTTCCCTATGTGTACAGGATTTAAAATGCAATTGCTAGTAAAATACTGAAGTCACCTGAGCATAGATTGACACCTAATTTAAACTGGAGTAATTTGCCTTACCCTCTCAATTGAAATTCTTGTGTCTTGCGTAACTTGAACAGGTCTGGTAACCTGTCAGATGAAGTTCGTCTTTTATTACAAAGCTTTTCTCCCCAGAGCAAGGGCAGCTATTTCAGTGTAGCATTTGAAGCCTTGCTTTACTTCATTATGGGGAAGCAACTTTATCATCGGTGCATTCTCTCCTTGTTTTGATTTAGGAAAACAAAGGTAGCAACATTACCTTGCTGGAATTTGAGGTTTAATTTCCTAACATGCATTGGATTGTAAGTAGATGGGAAACTTGCAGATAGTGTTCTGAGTGACAGTGCTGGTGCACAGACAGGGCTCTGACGGGAGAAGGAATAAATTCAGAGCCTGTCCTTGTGTGGTTGTACTCGAACTTACCCCGGCAAACTGGACAGCAGGACTCTGGAACAGAAACTGGGAAAGAGCAAGTTAATTTGGGACAAGTCTTCAACCCACAGTACACATTTCCTTCCTGTCAGTAAAACACAAGGAGAATTTAGGAGTCATCAATTCATCTGGTACTGTACACGCATTTTTTTATGAACACGCTTAAATCTAGTATGTGTGTTTGCATAAATACCATTCTAATATGCAAAAGCAGAATATTAGACCAATGAAAAGTCTGAACAGCTTTTTAAAAATTTGTTGTCGCACAAAAGAAGGTTTTTTTTCTTTAGAAAAAGAAAGGGAAATGGGAAGAGGTGAAAGTATGTGAGGAGAACTGCAATTATTGTAGGCATTGTTGGTACTAAAATCATGCAGTGTAAATTTGCATCCCATCCCCTCCACCCTCCACCTGCCCCATTGCATCTTACCACTGAACTGGAGGAACAGCTTCACAGTAACTGAGAGTCATAAAGTCTGTTGTACTTGGCCTGTGAAATTTGTAGTTATTGTAGAATATTATGATGATTTGATCAAAGGAGGTCTGGAATTGCCAATACTTGATACTGAAGAGCTGTTTGTATTGAGGGGGATGTTTTGGTTCAGACACTGGCTTTGAAGAGTCACTGGGTGACTGCTCAGATATACTGGATTTGAACTGGTGACATCTCTGTGGCCCAGTGCCAGTTTACAGAGCTGTCTGCTCCCAGCCTGTGGGGCTCTTTACTTATCAGCTCAGTCCAAATGAATTCAGTTTCAGCCAGTGCCTTAGTGCTGTATTTTCCAGTCAGGATGAAGTGAAATATTCTATATATGCCAAGCAGAAATATTTTACCTGCTGCCTCTGCACTGTAAGCTCACTTACAGCAGATGCTTGACAGGGTAAGCTTTGTCTGCTGTGTTTGAGTAAGAGGTAGCCTGGCATTTACCAGGTGCTGCAGACTGGCTCTGAGCACTCTCATGAGTTTCAGCATTAATTCTCAATTCCCAGCTTTTGCTACATATAGCTTGTATTTCAGTGTTGTGTCTTCTAGAAAGGAGAAATGAAGCATAGCCAGAGCAGGGCTCTGTCAAATCATGTTACTTACTGAGCAGCTGCACTGGGCACACTGGTTTGCTTGCCTGTTTTGGAAAAGCCCCTCTGCCACAAACATTTCACCATGATGGTAGGTGGTGCCATTGTATTCACAGGATCTCCCAGTGATTTTGCTGCTTACTGAGAAAAGGGAGTCTTCTGGAAGCAATGGGAAAGGAACATGTCATGCAAATGTTCTTAACAACTCGCGGTATCACAAAAACAGGAGAGAAAAAGCTTCCTTTCTCTGTCATTTCTCTTTATTATAAAAGGACAAGTTTTGTCATGCCACAAAGTATAAGTGCTATTCTCATGCGGCTATTTTGCCGAATTATTAAAATTCACACTTTGAATTGACTGTCCCAGTTAATCTTAGGATGTTGATGATCAACTGCAGTGACAGCACTGGTGGCCATCTCTCATGCTGATGTATTTACTCTTGCTCTGTCTGCTGCAGCATTTGGTATTAGGATAGGCAGGTGCAGTTACGTGCCCACTTGTATTTTCATGCTTTAATGTAGGAGGCATTAGATCCTATATACACAGGGAATCTCACTATCAGTAGCACTGTTCTAGAGTGGTTTCCCCCTTCTTAGTACTGGTATCATTTTATTAATGTTTTGTAGTGTTGTAGCCCATAGAAGACTTAGTTGCAGGTTAGCAGGTTGTGCCATAGGACACGTGTGTTGCCATTTCCATGCCATCCACAGGCACAAACCTTCTGGAAGAGAAATGGTGATACAGATGATGGAACTGTGTCAAGAGAAAATTATGTACCTTGTAAGTGTTTGTTCCTAGTGGCCTTCACAATTCGTTGCTGCTGTTGTTTTCAAAATGGGCAAAACTTGTCAAAGGCAGACATCAAAAGCCACCCAAAAGCTGATTTTTCTCTTACATGTATTTTAAATCAGATGTGCAAATGAGTGCATATGACAAAGTGCACAAGATGGCAGTGTCAATTCAACCCTGAAACCTCCTGTTTCAGCTCAAGATCATATCGAGTTCTGCACCACATGGGTTAAATTTTCTTCTGCGACATAAAGCTATCCATACCTTATGCAAAAACATCCCCTAGATTGTTTAACTATTAGCAGTCGACAAACTGTGCAAAGGAATTATACTTTACCTGTGAAATGTAAGCCACTTGATATCTATTGGGCAGTGAATCTGGCACTGTACATTTACATTCACATGAATTTAGCATCTCAGCATGGGAAGAGGCATTTTGAACAAGAGCTCTATGGAAGTAACAGTGGAGTGTTTGTTCTCTGGAGCTTGAATCATCGCAAATTTCTAGGAATGCAGCTGAAATTTCATTCAGTGGGTTTGGACTTTCATGTAAAAGATACCTGAAAATACAAGTTTCGCTGTAGCCCCTTTCATCAACTATCAGATAAACCTGGTGAGACTTTTTTGTGAAGCTGTGCTGCCGCAGAATGCATGTTTTTCAGTCAGGAGCTCAAGTGAAAGAGCAGTTTTCTGCTGGCATGCACTGGTATTAAACACTGACATTTTGAGCTTCCCATAAAGGCATATGTTCAGTTACATGGGTCCATCAAATATTAATAGTATTTTGAATGGTAAATGTCAAATCATGGTGTAGAACACACATGTACTACAGTATTTGAGAGTCTAGTGGCTCAGCAAAGAACATTCTGCAGAATGGCAGAAGTCAGCAAGTTTGAGATCTCTGCCTAACATTTAATTTCTCTTCAAGAGACAGATGTGGTATTTGCACTTCCTCCTTTGAAACACCAAATACATCATTATTTCAGTGCCATCAAGAGTGTCTAACGATACCTTTCCAAAATCTTATAAATAGCACAGAGCATTGACAACACCTGTGCTTGGCATAGAAATGCAGTGCTTTTGGCACTTTCCTTAAGGTTTGCTAGTTATTACTAGCACATTGCTAGCACCTTACACGTTCTGGAATGGCAAGGTGTATGCTCTAATTGAGATGCATCAGCAGAAAATTCAGTATTTGTCCCATTAGGCACAAATATTGGAAAACATTAATAAAGAGGCACTTGTCAGGACTGTGCTACCTCCCAAAACTTATGTCACCATAGTTTCTTGGGCTTTCTGAGAGTCACCTCATGGAAAGCAGAAAGAGAGGTTGCCAAACCCTTACTTATCCCCTTGCCCCCTGGGCAACTGGAAGAGCAGTAGAACTGGAAAGAAATTAAAATGAAAGGAGAAATGAAAGGAGAAGATGGTTCTTGTCTGGATACGAGGCCCTGTTCATGCAGACTCTGCAGGACATTGCTGTGCCCATATGGGATGCCTGTCCAAAAGCAGTGTTTGGCTTGTGGTCTGACATATGCAAAGCCCAATACCTGAGTTGTGACTCTTTAAGAGTACTGGATGAAGAGAGTAAATTTTAATGCAGATTTACCTTGGTATACGCCACATTGCTCAGATCACTGTGAAATCACCAAAGGCCTTTAAACTGTGGCTTCTAAATAAGGGAAGGAGGATGATGAAACTATTATTGCTTGGAAAATGACAGTGGAGAGTTGCAGTAGATAGTTGTTTTCATCTGTATTTCTTTTAAGTTGATCATAGAAGTTAGGGCTATAACAGCTAAATCGTAATGTACAGCCCAAAACACACATACATCTGCCTGTCTCTGGAATATGGGATGAAATTCTGTTGCTGTTTTGAAGTATTATTTGATGAAATAATTATAAGAAAAGTCAGTTTCAGTCACAGGAAATAAAACCATGATTTAGGTCTTATGCTACACATCCCTGTGCATATGATTATCTGTTAGCACATTAAGTGAATGCGCCTATTTGGTTGCATAAAATAAGGTTTAGAAGTTTTCAGATCAAGGCCACATAACTGTTACTGCGAAAAAATATATACAGCCATATATCGGAGAGAGCACATTGGAGAGCGTGACTGATCCTCTCCAAACACAGCATCTGTCTAAAACTGCAAGGAAGCTTTGTTTATATTGCATGTCTAAATATAACTTCTGTCTGGTGCAGTTTCTCTCTCTCTCTCTCTCTTTGCTAGTGTGTGACTGGCTTTCCACCACTAGGACTTGCCTTGGTTTCTTTTCTAGTCCTCTTTAAATCATGGCTAATTAAAGGAGTTCCGACTCCCTCATGGTACCATATTCTCCTGTAGAATGTGAAATTAGAGTCATTGTGGATTGTTTTAATAAGTGCCAGGCTTGAACTTCAAAAAATCTTGGCATTAATACTGATATCAGCATTCATTATTCTGTGCCTTAGTCCAGATATGTTAGAATTCGATTAATTAACTGCAAATACACTGCATTGCTCACAGCTCTATTTGTAAACCTTGCTTCCTAATCAGGATTGTTCCCAAAGCTTTATCTGGCATTTTAATGGTGCTGACTAACATTGCTTTAATTAGCTGCTTCTGTAAAGTACCAGGCAAACCATCTGTGTGAATCCTTTTAATTAACTGGGTTCAATCTGAGCTTTTCTTTCTGGCATCCATAGCATGTCAGTGGGAGCAGTATAAAACATATAGGGTAAAGATGTTACAGCATCAGTTGAAAAGGAAGCGTCTTTGTTTCTGTGGGTGGCATTTATTCTCTAAGGGCTCAGACTTCAATACAGAAGTTGACAGGCTATGCTTACATTTGCCTGCAATTTTAGTGGGTTCAAGGTAAGACCATGAGTTAGCAGTATGGATAGCACTGATTCATCACCGTTAGCATTAGGTAGTGGCAAGGGGCTAAGAGCACAAGAGTGCAACCTAGGCTTGATGTGACTTGCTGTGGATTTGAACTTATCCTGTAAGAAGCTTTAAAGGTTGAACCTGGCTGAAGGAATCTTTCAGGTTTTACAAACAGGCAATGGAATACAACTTCTACCAAAAAGGGAGGAGCTTCAAAACAATGTGCTTGAATTATTATATCCAAGCATTCCTCTCTTCCAAACATGGGATTCTGTCCAGCTTCTGCTGTCTACCTAGGCTGTTTTTCACTGGCGTTCCATACACACAAAGTAATCCTCAATGAAGCCAATAGAGAGGTTTCCTTCAGAATTCAGCCTAGGTGCTTGCTTGAACGCTGCTTTTATGTTTGAGATGGATGCTTGTACTAGGAGGAACTGCTGATCTATACAAACAAGATTTGTATCAATTCAGATCTGTAGTACAGCCTGATAGAGAAGTTCAGTATGAACCAGAACTGCATGTAGGTATGGTTCACGTATTCCATGAACTACGGTCCATCTGACAGGGCGTGTGAAGAAAATGTATGGCAAAAAGATTGCCATGAAGGGATGCTAACTTAGTGTGAAGTGCTGCACCAATGCTTTCCTGATAGTCTCACAAAAGAAAGTTGGAAATTAATTTAGCAAATCATGGACATTTAATGGAAATTTTCTGTTTCAGTGGAATTTACCCCAGTCACAGACTTTCCACAGAATCACAGAATGTTAGGGATTGGAAGGGACCTTGAAAGATCATCTAGTCCAAACCTGCCTGGGTTCCTGATGGTCTGCCCATTACTTGAGGTTTCCCAGGGCCAAGGTTTGAGGGCAGCCACACTATGTACACAGACCAGGGCTTCCTGGCTTCTGGAGCTTACCAGTCTCCTGCGAGTAACAGAAGCTGTGTCACATGGATCACAGTCAGTTTTGGAAACACCATCTTTAAGCTTTTTCTGTTTACAACTATTCCTTCCTGGATTGTTATGAAAGCTTGGTCCTGAGATGCTTTACCCTTACTTGGATATGGAGCAGAAGAGCATCACTTATCTGCAACTAATCCCTTGAATAGCTTAGACAAATTCCATGGGCAGTTCCTGGTGTTTGAAACGGTGGTAACTTCTGTAAAAGTATTTATGTGCAGGAAGTGAAAAGCAGTAACTGGCTATGAGCAAACTAGTCTTTTGGGAAATGTTACTGTAGGGTGACTTACTTGAGGAACGGCTTTAGGATCCATGCCTTACTACGGTCAATTAAGTTTTCAACTTGGATCTTCCTGGATAAAGTCAGGAGGTACAGGTACAATTGCCAACAGACAATTTTAGGACACTAACAGACTGTCAAAACCACATCAGAATCGGTACAGTCATGGCATGATAATCATTAAAGTATTATGTGGCATCTGACCTTTAAGACAAGAAAACCAGTTGGGTTTGGGTGGTCTTTGCCATTGTGGACAATGAG